AGCACCTCACCAGAGCCATCCTGCTGAAACACAAGTGCAGTCATGTTATTCCTCTACTCAAAGCCCCTGAAACCTTCCCATCTCACTCTGAGTAAAGGCTCTAGGCATACGATGGCCTCCAGCACCCTACACAACCCGCACCTACCGTCCGTCTAATCCCTGAGACCTCACCACCTTCCACAACCATGCTCACCCTCTCCAGTCACAGCGACCTCCTTGCTGGCCCTCCACATATCGGGTCCACTCCTGCCTCAGGGCCTTTGCATTTGCCATTCCCTCTGCCTGTAATGCTCTTCTTCAAGATACACATATGGCTCTCTCCCTCACCTCCCTCAGATCTTTCAGAAATACCCTTCCCAGGGAAGTCTTTTCTAGCCATCCCATTTTACAGTGCCAACCATCTCTCAACCCTCAACACTCCGTGTTCCCTTGCCATGCTTTATTTTGCTCTAAAGCACCTGTCACTACTCTAATACAACACACATGATCTACCAATTGATCTTGTTTATTATCTGTCTCCACTGCTAGAATGTAAGCTCCATGCGGGCAGAGATTTTTGTCTGGATTTTCCCTGCCATATCCCAGCACAGCGCCTGGTACATGGTAGGCGCTCAGTAGAGGATTCCTGAAAGAACGAGGCTAATGGGTCAAGAAATGATGAGGAGATAAGCAAGGGAAAGCCATTAAGGCAACTCCTTCAAGATCTGCAGTTGAGTATTAAGAAGAAACCAGTATCAGGAGATCTTCTCCAAATGGGAAAGACTCAAGCATATTTACAGAATGTTGGGGGGTAGAGCGGCATGAAAGAGACTGAGGACATGAGAGCAAGGCTATTTGGCTATGCCGAGTCTGGGAGGGAGCAAAATGAATGGCTTCACAAACAAGGGGACAAGGGACCTCTTTGGAAGAGACTAGGGTAGGCAAGGAGCATGAAAGGAGGTGTAGATCTCAGGGAGCAAGGGGAAATTGAACAAGTTCACACCTAGTACTCAGTTTTCTATCTCAAGGTGTGGGGAAGAGTTTGAGTGGTGAGGGTTTGAGGTGGCACTTTGGAAAATGAGAATGCATGCTGATTCGGGGAGAAGAGAGTTGCTCAGCAGGCCTGGGGGATCCCCCCACTCCCGAAACCATAAATATGTTACAGTTTGGGGATCTTCCCCAGTTACACTGGGAGGCCAATGAGAACCAAAGGGGTAAGTCCTAGTATTATTTTAAAATTATTAAGTTAAAGCCCTTATTGGACACGTTGGACATCGAACAAAATGTAAAACTCTAAGGGATAATAAATACAAGGGTAAGTGATAGGAATAATCATTGCTGCTGACCCAACTTAGGGCACCTCCAGCTGGCAAATACAATGCAAGATGGTGTCCCTGGAAAGAGCAAGTCTTGAGGACAGATCTAGAGAAAGAAAGACGAAAGGTGACCCTTTGGCCAAGGACTCTGAAAGGCTACTCTAAGGAGCCACAGAAGAGGGCTGTGTATAGCGTAAAGGAAGGCTGGAACCACAAAAGAGAAGATCCACAGAGAAAAACAAAAGCCACTTAACTACAACTCCTGAAAATGGGCCCAGATATTCTAAAATACTGAAATATGGGGCACCTGGGTGGCTCAGTTGGTTAAGCGTCTGACTCCAGATTTCGGCTCTGGTCGCGATCTCTGCGTTGTGGAATCGAGTTCCACCTGGGGCTCCGCAGTCAGCACAAGTCTGCTGGAGATTCTCTCCCTCTGCCTCTCTCCCCGCTCCTGCACACATGCTCATGCTTGCACTCTCTCTCTCTCTCAAAAAATAAAATCTTCTGAAATACGACATTATGGAAATAGGAGTATCTGATGTGCAAGGAAAGATCCCTAATTTCCAAAGGGACCAAAGCAGGGTCATAAGAGCTTCAGAGTCATGAGCTACTAGGCTATTTGCAGAACCTGTAGAATCTTCTACAGTCCATAATGAAAAGACTATTTCAAATTTTAAGGACTATGTCACATTGAGCTATCAATTTTAATAGCTACTATTCATTATTCATACCATGCTATGCATATTACATGCTTTATTCCCATTTTATAGATGAAGAAACAGAAGCTTAGATAAGAAAGTTGTCCTAAGTCATAGCAATAGATAAGGGGCTGGACCAGAAATCAAAGCCAAAGGTGTCTGGTCCCAAAGACCATGCTTTTAACCTCTCTTTTCTCTTCCTAAGGTTATTTTTCCTTATTGAAAACACAGGAGTGATAACTACTTTTAATGTATTCTTATGAGACTTGTAAGTCATTCTATGATGTATGTAGTAGGTATTTGTACGAAGACATATTGTTATATGAAATTATTGACTAAATATTCTAACACGTATTATGTCTTTCCAATGTTTGTGTTCTACAGTGAGACACAACAGGTGTCAAGTGAATGAATGGCAGTCCCTGAGCCCAGGAGAATTCAATGCTCAAGGTCACATCAGTGACCTTGAGGAATCATGTTCTAGAATATTATGGGGGGGGGGAAGTAGGAGAAAGCAGTTTCTGCAAAGCACACAGCTGGGAGTTTTTGCAAGATCCAGAGCAAGATCTAGCCTTACTGTTACTGAAGTGATGATTAGTGGGCCCTTGACAGGCAAAGCATTGATCACTGAGACCCAGCACACACTCACCAAGAGCAGGTGATTTCAGACCAACCCAGCTGCCTTCTTTGGGCTCGCAGAACTACCACCTACAGCGGCAAGCAGGTGGGGCTGGGTGGTGGTGGGCCCCTTTAGAAGAAGCAAACTCACCATTTACATCCCCTGGATTAGTTAAGAGTCTGAATGACAGAATCAGGACTTAATAGTTAAGTAGAGCAAGGATAAAAATAAGATCTTGCACCTGGTTTCAAAAACCCAACTGAGTAAATCTGAGACAGGTAAGGGAATGGTTCAGGGCCACAGACATGAAAATGTTTTTGAGTAAGTTGGTAGCCAACTCAATGAGAGCTAACAGTGTGATGTAACGGACAGAATAAGGAAAAGCGGCCCTGGCTGCATTACTAGAACCTGGTGTCTGGGCTAGAACCGAGAAGGGCTCTAACCTGGGTGGGCTGGGCTAGACTACCACACTACTATGGGGGCTTCCGGGCAGCTCACTTTGAAAGGGTCTGCTGGTTATTTTCATTTCCCCCACTCCCCACTATGATCGCTGCACGGCTCTGTGTCCTGAGGGAGCTGACCCCTACATATGGCATTGTCCATACACCCTTGCCCGGGTGACTTCCCCCTGGGTCCAGCCAACTAGAAGCACCCACAAGAGACTCAAGGGCAAGGAAAGAGAAGACACAGAGTATCTCTTGTGCCAATGTCTCCCTGCTCCATCTCCACGTTAATGACAGTCGCTGTATCTCTCTGTAGCTACAGTTCCTGTCAGGCAGCCCCCCTTCCATAGTTCCAGCTCTCTGTGGGTTCCCCGTGCCCCGTCAGGTCTAGAGGTAGTAACAGCTTCCACCTGTCTGTCGCTAGCCCCTAGCTTCCTTACCATCCTTTCTGGCTTCGCTTACCCCTGCCCTCACCTCTGAAAATAGTCCCTTCACGACAGTATTTTCAAAATAAGGGAAGACTCCAGGAAACAGGCTAATCCACTTGAAAAAAGTGAGGGGCTACCATCAGACTCATTCTTCTGGCTCTAGAGATTCTCTATCTCTAGACGGAAGCCAATTCTGTATTTTTACAACAAACTTTTCTAAAGAGTTGGCAAAGGTGGGTTGAACGCACCGGGTAGGTCATGAGCTTCAGAAACTCAGAGTTGTTTAGTCTTAGCTAGAGAGCCCACACCAGGAATACAGTAGGAAAAAGTCAGAAGGGTAATGAAGGGCTTTCCAAGCCTGGATTTCATGATTTGCTACCAGCTACACACTCCTCAGACAGTGGTTTATCAAAACAACCAAACCGGGAAAAAACCTTTTTGGAGCTGTGTTTCGCTGCGTCTCACTCCAACACAGAAAGCAGAAGTTTAGTCCTTTGTGTTAAGTTTGATAACTCTCAGCACGGAAGTTCTTCTTTACGCTTTAAGGTAACTCAGAAACACGGAATTACTTGACACCACGGTATCACAGCCTTCAAGAGCGCTATTCCCAAACCACGAAGCATTAACCAAGCAACTTCTATCTACACATCACTAGAGCTTCTTCTGAACTGTCACTTCATTTTTCAAACCAAAAGCCAAGATGTGAAATCTGCCAATGAGACAAAGTGTTTTACATGCAAATTGTCCTGGAAAAAAAATAAGATCACTTCCATTCACCCTGGCGGGGAAAAGAAAGTGTTTCTTAGAAAGAGCCCTCCACTCCTGAGTTCACAGAAAGGTCGCAGCGCGATGCTAAGTGTGTCTAATCCAGGTCTTCCCCTTGAGTGCGAGTGTGTCATTTATTATTACAGGGCCCGACCGCTAGGAAAGCCACTCATTCATTCAACAAACATTAATAGCGCCCTACTGGGCCCTGGGGGCGGATGCGAGATCCGGAGGCCAACTCTGCTTCTGGGGTTCCGTGCGTCCAGGAAACGAGCTGGTCTCAAAGGCCAACGAAGGCAGCGAGCGAGAGTGCGGCGCCCAGGAAAGTTTCCGCAGGAACTTGGGGAACGCCAGCCTTCGGGCGCCGAGAGGGCGGGGGCGCGGGCCTCCGGGAGGACGCCGCCTCCGCTTGGGGGGCCCGGCCGCCTCCC